GCTGTTTCGTATGGTGAGTGTAGAGAACCGGAGACTTTTTTTACTGGTAATGAGGCATTCCATCTAAGTCCTCACGAATGACAACGCATCTGCATTTTGATTCGTAAGCGAGGATAAATGTAGATGTCTATGGGCCACAGCAACCACTTACCATCAGGTGGACTGTGTGCTCGTTTGTCATCCTACACTATAAAAAAATACATTGCTGAAATCCAGCAACACCAATAGTGTGGCTTGTTATGTGTTACAACTAGTAAATATCCTTTTATGAGAATCTATGGGAAAGCTCTATGTTCAGCAATGAACTTTTGATAGGCTATAATGGTACAAGATTAAGAGCGCCTAGCTCCTAGGTGCGACAAAAATAAAATATATAGCATATAAAAATAAAACAACAATTATTTAATTCAAAATATATATTTAATTCATAAACAGGCATTTAATAATATTACCCATTACCTTTAAAAACCTATATAGTAACAATGTAAACGTAACCAAAAGTGGATTTTCAGTCTTTATGTATTGAGACTGGAATGAATTCGTAATGACAAATACATAAACATTAAATATAGTAACGGCAAGTAATCTGGTATGCTAAATTAACAAATTAAAGCGAATAAAATACTGCTATTGAAACAGATTTTATATAATCGGAGACACATTATTTTTATAACCCGCTGTATGTTGTATTGCTGAAATTCCTAAGAAAGATATTACACAGGGTTTCAATGTGTGAAGCACTACACAAGAAATGACTATGAGAAAGATTAACTTATGAAAATTTATTAAGATAAGTATTGCTTAAGGCGAGTTTGTTTGACAAGCACGACGGGCAACGTTTCAACGTACTTGATAAACAAGCCGTCTAACAAACATTATTTCAAACATGGCGAACAAACTTTATTTGTCAAACACGTCAAATGTACGAGAGCTGCAGTAAGCACGATCAGATAAACTGATCAGTTGGACGGCGAGTTATACTGATCAGTTAAAACGGATGTAAGCCAAAACGATTTCTCAACTTACTAGCTTCAAACCAGCCTTCATTTCTCGATCTTTTTTGGATGTAAGTCAGTTTAACTGACCGTGTGCCCCGAAAAATCCATGGACTGCCGTCAGTTAAACATTTTTCAATTTAATGTTCAACATACACGGTCAGTTAAAGTGATCAGTTGAACTGAACATTCAAATACCGACCGTGACTATGAAATCTTCAGTAAAAATTTTTAACTACAGCAACCAACTGACGCGGTAAGAGGTTGGTTATGACGTCTACGCGTGGCCTTGTCGATCGAGAAATAAAGGCCGGTTTGATGCCAGTGAGTGGGGTCATCGTTTTAGCTTACATCCGTTTTCACTGATCAGTATAACTCGCCGTGTATGTCGACCTTAAGATCTCATACTCACGGTCAGTTTTTTGACGTACGTCAAATCAACTGATCAAATTAACTGACCGTGTGTGTCGAGTATCAAATTATTTGTCAAACACGTAAAATTTGTCAAATTATTAAAACGTTTACCTGCCGATTAATATATCAATGTAACAGGTAAACATTGAACAACTCCACTAACGCAAGGTTGTCAATAGTAAGATGTATGTGTAAATGTAGTCATAGTAAGATGTATGTGTAAATGTAGTCATTGAAGACGACGGGATTGACGTCACACAATAATCAGCAGCAAACTTAAATAAAACTCCCACCCGTGCGCTAAAGAATGGGATTGAATGGCTTCGCCTCTATTCACTTCTCGCTCGCAGTGCCGTTATCTATACTCACAACCGCCGGTAAAAACTATAGATATGCTATATGTTGTCATTGGAATCAAAGATAACAAAATGCCATAAACTACAACAAAAATTCAGTTCGATTTTCCTCATTTGTGAGTTACGGCGTATTCTGAGAGTTTACTTCATAATTATTATTGATTTCATTTGTTAATATTTTTGTATAAAGTATTTATATCCCACTGCGACATGAGTAACCATTCTTAAAATTTTTGTTTATCTGTCTGTGCGAGATAATCTTCGAAAAAGCTGAACCGATTGTAATAAAACTACACGAACAAATACTAGGAGCGATCTATATTTTATCCGAAAAATTTAGAGATTTTATTAAAATAGAAATTATGTATAACATATAATAAATGGTCTTTAATGATTATCTTACAGTACGTTTGCACTGAGAAACATCCAACACGTAATGTTTTGAAACAAATTGAATACAATAAATCACACAACATGTTTTGTTGATGGTGGCGTTAGCACTCACAAAAATTGTGTAAAATTTTCAACAGATATTCAAACTTATCTTTCAATATGACAATATTTCTACAAACTTGTTTTCAAATATTTTGTTTTGTAGTTATAAAGATATAATATAGTTAAAATATATAGTGTACAATAAACTGTCAAACATATTTCACTACAACATGTTCTTTGACTATGCAAACGCTTTTTGATACATTGACAGAAAACAGTGTTTAAAACATGTTTTTTTGTGAAAATCGCGTCAGTTCGAACTCACGGTTAAGTCTAAACAATGTCACATTTAGGGCTGATCTTCATTATAATGCCGTTCACAGTTCGTTTTCGATCGGTTCTCGTTCTGATAAAATATTATCAAGTAAAAAATATGTGTGTACTACCCGTAACAGTAAAGTTTCGCTCGAATCCCATTCCAATAATATAATAAATCAGACCGAGATCGGACCGAGAATGAACTGTGAACGGCAAATGAGGATCGGCCTTAACAGATCCCACCTAGGCGAAGCCAGATTGGGTCACTAGTTACATATGTCATTTTAAAATTAATGTACCTACTTAGGCATACTATTATTTTAAAAAATTCCCATTAATAGAAAATTTTCCAATTAACCGAATATAATAACTATAACGATATACCGTTATCAGCGGGTTTACGCTATTGGTACTGTACAGGTTGACGGTACGGGCTCGATGAATGGCCATTTCTAATCCCATTCTTTAACCGTACAGACTGTATACAGTTTTATATGTAGCCAATATATAGTATAAAAAATATCTTCCAATGTTCCTTTTCCATTTCTACGTATACTTCATATTATTAAAACTCGCGATAATACAAATATAGCAATCATACAAAATATACAGCATGCAAACGAAGCAAGCTATAACTGCGTTTCCTAAGTAAATACTTTTAAGTACATTTTAACAGACTGTACAAGTTTTAATACATATATACATTATACATATAACAAAGACATATCCTTTAGCTATCACAAGATACAATATTTGATCGTTAAGTAATAGAAAAATAATAAGGAAAATGCTATACGGCTAGGATATGGAGTGTAGAGATAAGGAGTACAAACTCTGTATAAAAAAGTGTCCGTAGGAAAGCGCTAAATAAAGCTGGCGCCATTATAGCTACAGTGTAAATTTTAATGAACTTTTTATAATTTTTTATTGCACAGACTTTCACCATAATTCTTTTTACAATAATTATTTTATTGCTTTTAAAATACTTATTATCGAAACCACTCTTAACTTATTTTATGGCGATTTACCATACCCTGTAGCTACTCGAGCGCTGTTGTGGAGAGTTTTTAAACTGTTATTTATTGCTTACATTTTCAACTATTCTCTTATTTTGGAGATTGTCCTCCTAACCTCTATACTCCATGGGCTAAGCGATGGGCGATTATCACTCAAAATTCAATTAATCGACATTTTCGTATCATTTTTCATGATTAATCGAATGAATCGTAATCACATGAAAATAATTGAATTCACTAGTCAATAATCAATTTGAAATTAATAAACGAATAAAATTACACTCACGTATTCTTCGGATCTTCGAGCAACAAAACAAAATACTGATTTCTTTTCCGTCAAACAGCAGCGCAATGATTACTCTATTTCGGTATGCAGGGTAAGGGAGCCAATACAATAATAGTGGTGACAATGAATTGTTTTTGAAATTTTTTAGAGCTACATACTATCAAATAAACTGTTTAAAGCTTGTTTGAAACTTTACTATGATCAAAAGAAATAAACACTGTAGTGGAATAAATGGAATATTAATTTTAGTATTAATCGCACGTCGCTAATATATACAACGGTGTAAATTGAGATGGCGACAACTGCATTTGGTAAATTAATTTATTAAGCTCCGCTTATTTTGCTCTGCGTAAAATACGTCAACACGTATGTAAATTTTGCGCTGGGGTTCGGCAAGCTCTTTTGTAATCATATTCATTTTGAAAAAGTGTGCAATTGGAGCCACATTGTGAGTTGCGAGAACTTTCAAAATATCAACAAAATAAACAGTAATGTAAACAACCTGGCAGCTCTACACATATGCCTTTATATTTTTTTTTACCTCTGGAGGCAAGTGAATAAAGATATCTGATACTTGAGGTCTGTAGAAAATTCAACAAGTCGTTTTCCTCTACGCGACAGTATTTTGGTCAGATATTTTAAAATTTGATCAATTAATTCGAAGATTCCTTCTGAGAGATTACTAAATGTTACAAAGTCTCAAGATTCTAAACTTTTACAATAATAAATTATAAAAACAATACGTACAAATTGAACTTTTTAATTGTCTATAACTGAGAGTGAACTATTGAGATAATTTGATATAAGAGTATAAAGAGTTTAAACCATTGTAAAGAAAATTAACTCTTAGCTTAACTAAAAAAAAGATGAGATTCTAAATGATGTTTTGAGAATTGTAACACTTATGCAAATGTGTTAACCATATCTAAAGAGATTTTTTTTAACAATAACCCGTTTAACTTCCACATTATTTACTATTTCAATACACATTTTATTCTACTACATTCTACTTACTGTATAAAAGATCGTTTAGTATATTTCTGGATATTTGATGAAGTACAAAAATCCGTCAAACAAATGTTTTGAATTATTAATTTTTGATATTCCGATTCATTGATATTGATTAATGGTTTTTCCGCAGGACAATATAGTAATGTAAATTTTGAATAACACCTACGCATCACAGTCTTATTTGTCCGTTGCATATTTTCTCGTATTCTTCTGCGCCTAGCGGCAGATAGCGACCTTGCTTCAGGTCTAAATAGTATAATTTATCATTTTTTACCAGACTCGGATCAAAGCCTTCCTTCTGTAGGTCAATTTTCTTCATTTTAAATGTACCTGAAATTTTATGAAATATAATTATATGTTATATTAGAAAGTTAAGGACGACAATTTTATTGCCGGCACGCCGATGTGGAAGTAAGGTTCTCGAGTGGCAGCCTCGTATCAGTAAACGAAGTTTACTATAACAAATATGCTACCTCTCTACACCAATGTCTATCAATGAAGTATTTTACGTAAATCGTTGCAAGTTTGAATCTATACAATAAATATATAGATAAATATTCTATTGCTATGTATTTTTAGTATCTAACTAACTTAAGGATAAATGTACTTTAAATAGATAAATACCTATTTAAATATATTTAAATAGGTATTTATCTCTTAAGTAGTTAAGCCTCGTGGTGTCACAGTCACTTTGGCTCAAAAAGATAGAGATACTCAATATTTGGGCATAAGTCTGCCACACGTATTATTTTGCGCACAAAAGTTCAAGTAAACGGTGATATATTTATTAAAAAGGAAAGATGGCCCGCATAATAAGGTAAATATGAAGATTGAAAATACAGACGTAAAGTTTATTGACTTGGCGACCAAATGTTTTCATAAAATATTATCATAGTAAAATGCTAAGTTACGTGACCATTACAAAGATTTTGATTGATCTAACATTGATCGGTCTGTATATATTCTTTATTATCAGACCGTAAAGTAAACAATCCAGAGTCAAGAGGACGAATTCTTTTTCCGTGCGTTTTTCTTTTGTAAGTAGTAGAAAGCAGTTTCCAGGCGTTTTTTTTTACTAGAAACGGGGCATTCCATTTTAGTCTTTAAAGGTGACAGCTGACCACGTAAATTCATTTTGATTTTGAATCGAGGATAGATGTAGAAGCCTATAAGCTACAGCAACCATCTCACATCAGCTGAACTGTGCGCTAGTCTTCATCCTTATCAAAACGTCCTCTCCACACTTCTTAACTAGTTGCGTCTCTTGTTATTCTTTTCGACAGGCTGCTAAATAGCCATCTCAATTACCATTGCTGTTGTCAGCCCGTAAAAATCTACTGTTAGACATGGGGCTCTACCATTATAGAGAGGTTTTCTCTTTATCGTCAAGCTTAGCAGGTGGAATGACGATGCTCTCGTTGTATAGCCACACTGCAGCTATATATCGCTGCGGCCCGGTTGGATTTGTTAGATAGGTGTGGGAGCACGCTCTCACAACATACGGGCTTAAAACAGCAGAATAACGCTGCCGTGCAATAAGTATGGTGAGTGTAGTGAACCGCAGACCCTTTCTACTGTTAACGAAGCATATCATCTTAGTCCTCAGGGGTGACAACGCGTCTACATTTTAATTGCGAATCGAGGGTGGATGTAGATGTCTATGGGCCACAGTATTCACTTACCATCAGGTGAATTGTGCGTTCGTTTGTAACATATTGTATAAAATTAAAAAAATAGCAGCACCAGATGTTCCGCATCTTTAATGCGGCTTCCCGTAGCCGCTCTGGATGCTTTACACCTGGAGTAAACGGAATGGTTATGCCGCCAAGATCTTAGCATAGTCTGTAACGCCACCCACGACATATGGATTCCTACAAATCGCGAGCATACGGCAAGTCGATTACGCTACAACTTAATATATATTGGTGTCTAGACTAGCGACAGGCAGCAGTGTAAAAATCCTTGACTATCAGCAGGTGATTGCGTGAAGTTAAAGATCGGAAAATGTGTAGCGGGTAGCGGTTTAGAAACGTTTAAACCTAGCAGACTGCCACACGCTGATGATGATGATGATAACAAACTGTGGCTAGTGGCATACTTGAACTATTGTTATTATTTTGAATCAAGGTCAGCATGAATTAGTCGGGAAATTGCTCGAACTTTTTTCCTAATGACAGATAAATATCGCCCTTATCCTTTTCAAATGTGGCTGTAAATATTATGCTGGAGATAATTTGCTATTTTCAACTGTATTAGAATTGGATAAGGACAATATTTAAGTAACAGTTGGTAAATGTTCATACGATTTTCTGTCTTATTTGACCTGACTTTAAGTTAAAGATGATGCATAAAAATTAGCCTCAATGTGTAACAAGCAAATAAATGTATAAATTTTCTTCTGTCCTATGTACCTTCATATTACTGTAGCTGTATGTAGTTTTACTATTATTTATTAGTATCAGAAAATCAGTGAATAAGTTAAATGAAACAATTCTGAGTGTTGTTAGTCAAGGTAGTGTCATCTCACCGGTCATGTCGACGCTAGTCATGACGCGTATAAAGACGGGGCGGGCGTATGCTGGCAGGTCACGCGCCAGGTCGCGCGCCAGTTGCTCCAGGTCCAGCGTGCCTGAAGCGTCCACGATGCCGCACATGCCCGCACGACCCTCCGTGTTAGGTACCTATAATACGTATTTGAAGTAAACTTATAGCCTATACAGGGTGTGGCGTAACGAATGGATAATAATTATGGTACTTGCGGGTAGAGTACGTTGTGGCGGTTCAGAAAAATATGTTTTATGTTTAGTAAAAGTCCCTTGGTTTTCGAGATAATCCGATATTTTCGAAAATTCAAAAAAATTACACTATTTTTGGTGTCAAGACTCCAACTGAAGGAATTTTTTCAATATGTATTTTGGATAGTATTACTGGATAGAAGTGTTATCGAATGTAATCTATGATTTTTGGGGCGCATGCATAGTTTTTGTTAAACAAAGATCTAACTCAAATCTCGTGTTTTGGTTATTTTTTTACAAAGTTTAAGTTAACGTGGTGTAAAATACATATGATCACCTGAGTGCCAAATTAAGAAAAAACATGCCTGTTTCATTGATATATACGAAATGGTATAACTTACTGTATTTCCAGTATTTAACACAAAATAAATTCCTGTTACAATGAGTCAAGACCTAGTTTAATGTAAAACTTGTTTTAAAATTTTTTGCAAGCTTCATAGCACATTAAATTTACAGAAACGACCCCTCTGCCAGGTAGAGAATAATAATTCTTGGAATCGGTTATTTACCCTAGCGACAATAAGCCGACGGTAAATCTATTCTGCTCTTTCATGCCATGAGTGGAAAAGAAAGATGAATTAGTGACCCACTCGAGCAACAGACATCCTTTTGCTATTTGTGGTTTGTGGCCTCAGCGCTTTTTAAGTCAATGTGCTATCATACTATTCCCGTGCAACATCGTTTTACCCTGCTTTGGACTGAAATTCATGGATTTATGCTGTGATCTAGGACTCAATTTTGCCTAGCGATTTGTACTTTTTAATTTGGTGTAACGACTTTGTGTCGTGACTTCGGGCTTGATTTGCTTCGTGATTTGGATTTTATATTAACTGCAATGATTCAGCTATACACTAGTTCTAACAATGCTCAAATGCATTTAATCTACAGCGAGTGTGGTGGTACGAAAATTGAGCTGCAACACTGTATCGGGAAAGATTTCCTAATGCACACCAACCCGATTATTGAGTGTTTACTCCCCTACATAATGCATTCATGGAAGGCCAAACACTTGGGAACTGAGTATCAGCGGAACGAGTTCCGGAAGGTCAAGAGTACACAATGAAAATGTACATGATGAAATTGCAGCTGATACGACCACCTCTATGCGTATCATAGCAAGAAACACAAGCATATCGGCTAGAATAGTGCATAGAATATTAAAACGAAAGAGGTTATACCCACCTCATTATCAGCGCGTTCAACGTTTGCTGCCAAGAGACTATCCTGCAAGAATTGAATTCAACGAAAACAAGCTAAGAAAATTGAACAATGATCCCGAATTCTTCGATACAATTCTGTATAACGACGAATCCACTCATCACACGAGGGACTTTTACTAAACATAAAACATATTTTTCTTAACTGCCACAACGTACCCGCAGGTACCATATTATCCATTCATTACGCAATATCCTGTATACGTAACACTGCTGAGCACAGTCCTTTTATTACTGAAAGGGAAAAAAATATTACGTTGCGCTACACCAATGAATGTTGACGGATTTTACATTCCTCGAAATATTGACATGCAGATTTCCTCACGGTATTTTCAATAATCGTCGAACACGTAGTAATCAATAAAGTAGTAAGATATTTTTATTCTACTAAATTCTCAAAAAGACTTGAAAAATATTCCATATTGGTAATGTATTATAATTATTTGCAAGCAAATTACAACTAACCACGTAGTGGCGGTGTAAGAACATGCCCCTATCGTCCCGTGGACGTCATTAGAGGCGACAGATGGCAACAGCATGACAACATAGACTAAAAATAAATAAAAACTGCGATTGCCAACCCGCCTGTCAAGCGGCGGCAACTATGGAAAATGGGTGCGTTTTGGCAGAAAAAAACGCTAGCAAGCGCTTGTAAGCAAAATGGCGATCGTAAGCGGTAAGTGCTGTCAAATCGTAAGTAGCTATTTTCCTCTAGGACACGAAGTTAGTTTTAACCGGGGAACCTAACCTAATTTAAATATATGTTTGTAAAGTATTCATATTAAAAACTTACCAATCATGAATTTTTAATAACATGTACATGTTTATTCATGTCATTATATTACTTAAAACTAATATTGCACAAAACAACTTTTAAACTCTACTTCAAAACAAACAAATTAAAGAAGCAAAATGGCGGATTATGTCAGCGCTACTGAAGTAGCAATCGCGTCCTGGCCGAAAACTATTTTAGCGCTTGTAAGCGCTTGCTAGCGCTTTTTTCTGCCAAACGCACGCATGCTATAAGCAGGAGTGCTACCAGGCCTGGGTTGACGCATCAACGCCTCGAGATATAAACACTAGCGCTCTAAAAATAAGTATAATTCCGCCTCCAGGTCCTTGAATTCCATTCAATTCCATCCAAAAAAAAATCCAGGTCATTCATGGGCGGCGGTAGTCATTTACCATCAGATGAGCTGCATTCTCATTTGACCCCCTTCTACAAAAAAAAATATAAAGAAATCTATGGGGAAGCCTATTTCCAGCAATGTACTTTTGATAGGCTACAACTGAGAAACGGAGTAAAGGCACATTTGATGTAAAGTTAACGGTAAACTTTTTGCCTGAATAATATTTATTCAATGTATACAAACACACTACACATTTAAAGTTGTATTAACAGCACATACCAGCACACCATAGACAACGGCGTCTCGGTGGTCGGCGACCCTGGAAATGGCGGCCTCCACCTCTGTAGTGCTGACATTTTCACCGCGCCACCGGAATGTGTCCCCAGTTCGATCGCGGAAAAACAGATAACCGAACTCATCTGCTACTAAAATGTCACCTGCAAGTAAAAGATACATAAATAATCCTGATAGAAATATATTCATAGTAATATCACAGACTTAAACTTATTAACTTTAGTAAGATTGCCCTTAGTAAGTCGAAAAGCTTAATGCATACCAAGAAATATTACCAGAAACAATTTTAGATGTATTCACGTTTTAAAATAAGATTAAACTAAATCTAAATAATAATCTAAGTCTATTTCTATGTACTATAATACATTTATCTATCTATCTATCTATCTATATATATATAGTCCATATAAACCAGCAAACATTAATGTAACATAACAACAAAATTTCTGACTATAGGTAAGAATTTCCGATTACAAATAAAAGATCGTCGTCCATGTTTAAAACCTCTGACATCTCATCACAATCGCACAAATATCCGGCGACCAACGTGTACATGACCTCACTCAAACCACCGCGCCCACTACCACCCCAACGCCTGCATGTTCTACGTGAACAAGCACTTGAGCTGCGAAAACTAAATGATGCTCACCAGATATAAACGCTGAATCACCGAACTTAAATACGTCCCTGACGACCTTCTTTTCGGAGGCGGACTTGTCAACGTAGCCGAGATACTCGCGGGTCGGGTTGTTGGGTGAGATTTTGCCGATGAACACGCCTGGCTCGTTCGGTTTCGCCAACTGTGATATTCCCAATCATAAATAATTAGAGTTATCTGATACGTCTTCGACAGATCGTTAACCTAATGTTTGGTATACTATTATATCCTTGGCTAACTCAACTCATTATAAACTGTCATAATAATAATAATAATGTCCTCCAGACCGAATTCCGGCCACTGCCTCAATGGAGACTAGCCATCGGCGCAGGACAGAATTATAGTGCCCAAGTGTATGCGCAAGCACAGGCACAAACACATAATCCGATGGGACGGTAAACCGACACGACCGGAGAGAGATCAGGCGCAGGACCAACGGCTTGACGTGCTTTCCGAGGCACGGGGATGAGACACCGCCAACTTCCTGATTCCGGGCAGCTACTGAGAATTTATTGACGGAAAAACTCAACAATTAATTATTTAGCCCGACCCGGGTTTCGAACCCAGGACCTCATGATCAGCAGGTCGCACTATTACAACCACTAGACCAACGAGGCGGACTGTCATACATATAACTTGATAATCAGTGGTGATCCCGCTTTATGTGTATAGATGGGATTATTGACTGTAGACTAATGGCGGCAAAAGCATTCTTATCAAGCCACCAGTTGGATGCGTAAAGGTGGACATCGAAGCCGTGTAAGAGAGCAGAATGGGGAGAGTTGTTCCCTTCCGTGAAGGAGTCTGACGCTAGCGGGGCTGCGGAAGTGTGCAAAAGCGTTCCCTTGGCCCTGGCGATATGCGGCCAACATGGAAAACCCGTCAGGTGGTCTATCAACCCGTCGTTCCATACGAGTCAGGTGTGTGTCGGTATTTCCCATAAAAAACATACTTAATTATTGAAGGAAAACATCATGAGCAAATCTGAAAAATTTAAAATATGTATATCGGAGGAGACCCGGAGAGTTACCCACGGAACAAACACACGGCATGGTAAACTTTTCCATACCTATCTCATTCCATGCATTAAACCCTCTCGGTAATGAGAGGACTATGGCAAGTTACAGTAATCTATACAGTGTTTACTAAGCTTGGGCGTTTTCAGTTTTTAGCTGCAACGGTTACATAACCGATATTGAGTTGTCATACAGTTATTGAAAACCGTTTTCAATATCGATATCAGTGATAATGGTTTGCTACTGAATACGCAAACGACAACCGAAACATAAACGCAAACTGTAAAACCAGTGCGAAATATTATTTTACGAATTACTTACATTATTAAAAATAGATTATTTATTTATTAATGATTATTTGAGTTGGCGATTATTCTTTATGCTAAACTAGCAGATAAGTTTCTTGAGTTAAAACTTAAGTTTCCATTAGTAGACGATGTTTATTGACAATATTTACAAACAGCAAGGTCATTTTAATCAAAGTGAGACCATATTTCACTAGCCATACGCGACATTTTGAAAGTCTTTTTTACAAAAATTATTATGAGTAAATCAATTTAAACTATACTATATTTTCACTCTGAACATAATTGTCTGAATTAAAACAAATGTACAACGCAAAGTCATAATTCAATAATTTTATAGATAATATCTTAGAAAACGGCACGCGCCACCAAGGTCAAGTGCGCAATTGTTGCGTTTTGAAAAAACTCAAATTCAAAACTTTCCATCCAAAACCATACAAATCTAAGCCTTGCCTAATGACCTCAAGATCATTTAAAATTTGATAAGTTATGACTTATTTTAGTTTGAAATTTAGGCAATATTAACCACTTAAAATTCGACCTTATTGCTTTGGGTAATTATATTTCACGATGTGCACCGTTGTGTGATAACTACCAAAAGAACGCCATAACCATATTCGCTTCATCTCTTTCTATACTTATTTACAGTATCGTTGCAAGAACGAGAAGCAACGAATCTCAACGAAGGACCTTGGTTAGTTCGTGGGCCGTGTTGGCAGATCGTTCCAGAGTTTGCGTTATGCGTTTCGTTTTTGTACGTTGGTTATGTACTTAGGTTTATCGATATAATATGATATTTTGATAACATAAAATTATTAGTTTTGTTTTAGGTCTCTGCCAATGTACACCAATTTTGATTTTATCCGACTATGACATAAGGGTTTTGGAAGCCTATTCAATAGAACTTGTAACATCATTCTCCTTTTTTTTTTAAACGTTACCCCCGCACTAGGATTTTCTCCAGCATCGTTGAGGCAGTTTACAAACATAAATTGCAAAAGAACAAACATCCAGACCCGGAACAATTACTTGTAGGCCATACAAATACTTGTTCCGTGCGGGATTCGAACCCGCGACCCCCAATGCAACCACTTATTGCTAAGCCACTGCGCCACGGAGCCGTCAAATTCATGTCAATTCGTGACGTAATTATCATAGTCATGGCAACAGATCACAAATCTAATGGTGATAATAGGCTTTTCCTAAAAAACGCTACAAAGCATGAAATTGAGCCGCCTACAATCCTTAAACTTCATGCAAGTCTTACCATGCATACTCGTCACCCCATAATATAGTAGGAGCCGCCATTCACTTCGGTTATAGGTTCTGTTCCGCTGGAGGATGTCGATTATTCTGATTCCACTACGAATATTCTCATAACGAAGGCTATCAATCAGTGAAACTGCGAGCGTGTACCTTATAGTTTGCTGAGCGATCTTGGGCTTCCGCATACGGCCAGCAGTGAAGGACCACATCTCAGATCCTCGAGACATCACCGGTAACACGCAGTGTGATTATGCACTCTTGTTTTAAAATTTTGAGGAATACGTGACGAGAATATCAATCATAAATTCCCTTGACCTTTTACGGCCAGAGTAGCTACTCTTATATACAAAAATAAATTTTTTAAATATAATTTTATAATAAATGATTTACCTGACATAGTCCCCTTGAATCCCTAATGGGTTCTCCTGTTTCTTGATCTACTTTTAAAATAGCAATGGGGTATATACTGGGCAGGATTCGGGAGACGAAACCTATGGCACCCGGTGTACCATCGGTATTAGCTGAAAAGAAAATAATTATTTATCACATAGAATTAATCATATTACATAAATTCAAATCAGATGTCTTACCGAAGTAAAATAAAATATGTTTTGTTATCCTTACCTAATATTTTAGTTTTTTTTTTAAATATACTGTTAAGAGTGAAAAACGAGCTAAAATCGACATAATGATCAGTGATAACCGCAGTCCATGGACATTTGCAACCGACTTAATAAAAAGATGATTACAGTTGCGGTGATGACTCTAAGATAGAACACCAGACGGCTGGTATGTATACTAGTTCTATGTAACCTCAAATTTGAGATGGTACAACAATAGACAGATTGATGCATAGAGGACAGGGGTCATGGTGCCCGTCACCCCTCTTCGAAACCAAATATATATTTTTAAGTTACATTTTAAACTCCACTCAAACCTTACATGAAAATGAATCAATAGCGTGAGCAAAACTTCTGGCTCTGACCTCTAAACTTCGCATCCGCGCATTTTTTTAAAAATAATCAACAATACTCACAAATACCAGGAACAATCATTGCTATTCGGACGACAGCACTGGTGATGCTTTATACACTGCCAGTGCGAATATTTATCGGGAAAACGTCGCCGAGTACCGGAACAAACTTGTATCGGAAGTCGAGTCTTTGTTGAATAAAGTCTTGGATTGGGGCGACTAAATCTAGTCCAGTTCAATCTTCAGAAGACACAAATTTGTGAGTTTACAAAATTTCTTCATATTTTTGATGTTGGTTCCGCAATAAAATATTATCGTGCGCCCAGCGAAGCGAGCGGGCATCAGCTAGCGACGTACAGTTTCGTGGCCATTTGGAAGAGAATGCTAAAAAGACTTTCACAGTCCGATTTTCAGACACAATAGTAAGACAATAGCAATGAACTATATGTAGTAGATGTGATAGTGAATGGATAAATTTTTTTTGTAATTGCATTTTTATTTATTTCCATATAGTTTTTGGATTTGGTAGAGCCATGCTGCAGTTATATTAGTAGTATAGTTGTAGCACGAATGGGTCGGCTCGACCGGGGAAGAACCACGTTCTCACAGACCAGTGTTAAATAGTAGCTTAATGCTGCTGTGTTTAGTACGGTGAGTGTAGAGAACCGGAGACCCTTTTTACTGGCAACAAGGCATTCCATCTTATTCTTCACGGGTGACAACGATGGCTATCCGAGTGCAGACCTAGAGTACGAAACCTATCCAACTACAGAGGGGTGTAAGACAGGGTGACGTTATATCCCCGAAACTCTTCACCGCTGCATTGGAAGGCCTTTTTTAAGCTACTGGACTGGAAAGGATACGATATAAACATCAGTGGCGAGTACATCACACACCTTAGATTTGCCGACGATATAGTCCTTATGGCAGAATTGCTGGAGGACGTAAGCATTATGCTCAATGACCTCAATAGTGTCTCCCAACGGATATGTCTTAAGATGAACATGGACAAAACAAAGATCATGTTTAAAGTCACACCTATGCCGGTAGTTGTTGGGAGCGCTAAGCTCGAAGTTGTTGACGAGTACGTTTACCTGGGACAAATAGTCCGACTAGGTAAATCAACTCGGCTGGGCAGCGTTCGGGAAATTACGACACGTCTTCTCTTCAGGTATACCTCAAAACCTGAAAACGAGACTACAACCAGTGCGTGTTACCTACCAGTGATGACATATGGAGCTGAGACGTGGTCCTTCACTGCTGGCCGTATCAAGACGCTTAAAGTCGCTCAGCGAGCTATGGAGAGGGCTATGCTAGGGGTTATTCTGTGTGATAAACTTAGAAATGAGGATATCCGCAGTAGAACCAGAGTGACCGACATAGCCCAACGGATTAGTAAGCTGAAGTGGCAATTGGCCGGCCATATAGCTCGAAGAACCGACAACCGTTGGGGAAAAAAGGTTCTCGAGTGGCAGCCTCGTACTGGTAGGCGAAGTGTAGGGCGACCCCCCACTAGATGGAGTGACGACCTGGGTGTCACATGCAGGAAGTCAATAGATGCAGTTGGCTCAGGACCGTGCTTCGTGGCGTACCTTGGGGGAGTACCCTATGTTCAACAGTGTACTTGTGAAGGGCTGTAATGATGATGATGATGACGATGAATCCAATTGAACTAGTATAGCTGTAGGACGAATGGGTAGGCGGGACCGGGGAAGGTCCACGCTCTCAGAATACCAGCGTTAAATAACAGATTAACGCTGTTGTGTTTCGTATGATGAATGTAGAGAACTGGAGACCATTTTGTCTGGAAAAGAGGCATTTCATATTAGTCCTCACGGGGGACAACTCATATGCATTTTGATTCGTAATCGAGGACACATGTAGATGTCTATGGGCCGCAGCAACCACTTAACATCAGGTGGACTGTGTGCTCGTTTGTCACCCTTACCTATATAAAAAAGCATACTCTTGTGGCATTATAAGTTCTGTGCAGTCGATAACTTCAAAAAGTATAGGAAAGTCGTCGCGTAGTAGAAATGGACAGAAATACTAATAGGTTTATAAGACGATACCTATGTTTGCATTTCCTTCCGTGGCGCCATAAAATTCGACCACATGCTTGATATTAAACCTCTTTACGAAGTCGGTCCAAATCTGAAAAAAAAATCAATAGTATAGAGACGCAGTTAGAGCTTCATATTGTTTTATTTTAAGCTATTATAAGTTAGTGCTTAACTACTATTCCACCCGATGGTAAGCAGTGATTCATCTGAACACGGTAAAGCGCACTCATTGACTTTTAACAAAAACCTATTCACTCCTGCCTTGAACACATCAATGTTATAATTGGATAGAACAGATGCTGGGAAATTATTCCACTCCCTTGCTGTACGCATTATGAACAGTTAAAATACGTGGTATCTCGACAACAAGGAACAGATCAGCCGAGCGTCTGGTGGTCTGATGACGGAAAGGAGAGGGAGGATCTCTCTATATTTATCACTTTTTAGTGAAAGCGAGGCATTCCATCTTAGGCCTCATGGGTGACAACGCTTCCGTATTTTGGATTCTTAATCGAAAATAGATGTAGTATTCTATGGATCACAACATCCATTTACCATCAGCCTATATTCTATTTCAAAAAAACTTAAAATTATGAAATTTTTCAAAATATATCATTATGAGGATTTAAGTTGACACTATCATCGATAAACTACTACATAACTCATAAAAATTAAAGTTGCTACCTACTTCGGAGTGCTTTCGTAGTGCCTTAAAACTTTCCTGGTTTTTCTGTTTCAGTTAAACTTTTGAAATACTAAAATATACAAATACAGTTACTTGTATTTCGTTACAATTTCTATAGAAAACTTTTATTTTGACAGCTCGTAAAATGCCATATTGCCAAATTCTTGTGTTTGGAATAAAATATTGGAACATTTTGTAGTTTTACAAACTTATAGCTTTTCTTTATACGAGACGGATATACCCATCGCGTTTACGCGAGCGCCTTGAATTGTAAACCATAACATGTAGCAAGCATTATTTCCCATAGTCGCTTTTACGAAATCACATTTTGATAATGTCCATAGGTATCATCAAATAATCAGAAGTTTGTGTAATACTCAAGTAGATTATTTCTACTCAAGTGTCTTCAAAATCAATCTATTGCAATCTATAAAAATCTTTTGCTGAACACAGCCCCCCCCCCCCCATAGATTGCCTCATAGGGAAGTTAAAATGTATTAACTAACGCTCGAAATTGAATTTACACGGCTGAGGGTGAAATATGCAACGTCTCTAATCTCTACTTACATTCAAAAAATAATATCAGTGCAGAAGCCAAAAAAAAATTGACCAACGTCTTTGATATTTGCGTTAAAGGCGACAATACTAGAAACTGGTCATACAACATCAATGTGCTTTGTCCATGCTGCACAAGCTCGCTTCACCCTTGCAGTTGCGGTGATATATAATTTTAGAAGTAAAAATGAAACCTAATACATTTTTCGTAAAATGCATGTACGCCATCTTGAATTCAAAAACTGATGTAATATAAACTGATAAAATAAAATTTGTTGTCAGCTCCCGAGGAATCACAAAATTAGATCCATAATATATTTTTAAATTTGAATCAAGGAAATTCAAATTAACGTTCATCAACAAACATTTGTGATATAGAATTTTATTAATTATTACCTTAGAATTTCATTAATTATTTATTACCTGTGGCCTCAAGCCGTTGCCGAATATAACACGCACGCTGTGTTGCGTGTCGGCTGGGGAGGGCGGGGTCGCAAGTACGTAGCGACACATCTCGCCAATATAGTGTGCTACCTGCAAATTCAATACCGGCATTTAGTTATTTTCTGATTAGCGTGTTTCATTTAGGAATGATATATGGAGTTTCATATTTAAATCGATTTATGTTAAGCGAACATGATAATAATATACCGCTGTTTTTAGTTGATTTTCCTAACATACATTTCATGGCATGGAGGCATGGAAAAAACCCTTCATTGCTCCTGTTCCCGTAGGTGCCGCAGGGGGTGACTAAATTAAAGCCTTTGATTGGCGGAAATATACCATTTCAAATTCCCAAACCAGTGACAAGAATCAGCGTCAGATATCTGGCAGCTGAGAGAAGGGATACGACGAAATGGTCTCTATTGGAGCCCTTTGGCCAGTATTAAAATGCTATAGGGCTAATTAGGAACAGGTTGTGGTCATCATAATTTAAACATCATTATCATTACAATTATACAGGCCACCTCGAAGGAATGCCACATAGCACAGTCCTAAGCAACCTGCATCCATCGACTTACTGCATTTCTTACCAGTACAAATTATTGATAGAACCATATTCTAAATATCAGATAAGAAGTAAGAATATATGTGGTTAAATTTTTACGAAAGATATCCTATGAAACACGGTTTCTTTATTTATTAATTAGTTTTAAAATAACTCTGCAACTTACTCAGCTATCGATAAAAATATGACGTCTAGATAGAAATATACGTAGATATTTATTCTTCATGCCAGCAACTCTTTCTCTCGCAGCGTTCTAATTATTTGGATAAAATTTTGTAATCAATTGATGTTTTACTTTATTTATTTTATTTTATTTATTTATTTATATTTTCATGCAAAAAGTAGTACATATGTAGGACTTAATGCCATAGGGCATTCTCTCCCAGTTAACGATCATGTTTATTTAATGTATAATGTGACATTTACATATTCGTTTTAACGCCAAGCGAAGTTCAGTCAAACAATACTGTTATATAAAACGAAGTAATGGACGAATGAAGTTCACGATTAAGGTTTTGAATTACGTCATATGCGGAATAATGTATTACAAACAGGTTGTATTGATATTCAAAATGTTACTGAGGAAGGATTAAACTTAATTAAAATACCAGTTAGCTGAGTTTAGCAGTGAGCAAATTTTTTGTACAATAATATAATGTGTAATAATCTAACATGAAGTGTTATATTCATACATAAATATAGCGAGCCTTTGGATGCCTGTAAATTGTGCATCATTACGTCATGACCCGATTCTAATGTGATTGCAATCTAGATTTTGACGTTTTTGTCTAGAACATTCCTGATCGTTGTCTATATAAACAATAAAATTAAAAATTGGTATGTAGAAAATTTGCTCGCGGCCAGCAGTTACTATTAAAAGATAGATATACTAAACACTTTCACTACACATTTTTTAAATTAAATATGTAATTCTTGAACCGGTTTTGAAATTAATCATATACAGACATCTAATAACCGTATTATACGGATTCCAGATAACAGTGATGCAATGAATTATGTAAATAAATTGAGCGCGGGTATCAGATACATTTATACTGCCGTCTATAAAACTCCACTGCTGAAGTCCTCTTCTATAAATTGTCCCATAAGAAGGATTCTGCCATAGCTGCCACGCTAGGCGGGCGGGTCAGCAACCTGTTTTTTATTTTCTGGTTGTAATTAGAGAGGTGCTGTTGTTCGAAGGAACAAACCAGGAGATGGGCAGCGAAACGAGAGAAGTCTCGTTTCTAACGACACCCACTACCCACAGTGGATATTCTTACACTTACTGATGTCTTAATAACAAAAGGATATTATAGTAAGATATTATTCAAACATTTACTTCTGACATTGTGATCATCTAAATATATAAAAGCATCGCAGAATCGTTGAATCAAAAATACGCTATGAAGTCAAGTCAATAAATTTATTCATCTGCAACGAGTGCAGCCGTTTTATAGAACAGAGTGACAAACGAACGCACGGTTTACCTGGTGGTAAGTGGATGCTGTGACCCATAGACTTCTCCATATATCCTCGATTAAGAATCAAAATGCAGATGAATTGTCACCCCTGAGGACTAAGATGGAATGCCTCGTTTCCAGTAAAATGGGTTTCCGGTTCTCCACATTCACAATAATAAATGAGATGATACCCGGGAGGCCGTTTCGTAAAATGGGTTTAGTTCTCAATTCACAATACACAGGAGCATTATGCTGCCATTTTACGCTGGTAGTCTATAAGAGCGTAGTCTTTCCCCGGTCGTGCCGACCCATTGATGCTACAACTATACTACTGATATAACTGCAGCATGGCTCTACTACGTTAGAAATCTAGAAAAGTCATTTGTGAAGGCAACAAGTTAATTATGTCATTAAAAGAATTCTTAAGCAACATACGACACCAATCGTAATCAAAAATTAAAGATATAAGAGGAGAAAGCTAAAAATAGAGTGGGAGTAGAATGCAATGATATAAACGAGAAACGAATTGCTTCAGAACTTTCAGTTAAAGTCATAGACATAGTAAAGTAAAAAAAGTCAAAATGTTTAAAGAGACACACTAACGCGTTGCATTAGATAAACTGTTTTGAATTTAGAATTTAAATAGAAGATGCTAAGTCTATGAGGCATATAGTAAGAAATTCAAACAGATCTGGAAAGTGTAACTTCTTAATATTATTGATTATTTATTATCCAGATGACGTAGACGAACATTTGTTGAATGAGTGAATCCGGTTAAAATCTTACTAAAGTCTAAGCTAGAGTTCTACGCCTCTTGCAGTGAAATGTTTATGCTGATTAATGAAAAGGAACTTATTGATGTTTTCCCAAATTGCTTTACTATCTTATAGATTTTTTAACGTTGTCAAGTACTAGCTGTGAAGTGGAGTTCTCTTTCTCCAGATTGTTGTATATAGAAAACAAATATAGGTCAACAATGTTGAACAATAAACTAAATAATTTATCAATTCTTTCCATAAATTGTGATTTAACAAAGGACTGACAATTTGATAAGCAAGTAAAGGAATTTGAAGCGCAAAAATATTTTTTTAAAGGATTGGGTGACAAACGAATACACAGTCCACCTGATGGTAAGTGGATGCTGTGGCCCGTAGACATCTATATTTATCCTCAATTAACAATCAAAATTCAGATACGTTATCACCCTGAGGACTGAGATGGAATGCCTCGTTTTCAGTAAAAAGGGTCTCCGGTACTCTGCACTCACCATACGAAACATAGCAGCATTAAGCTGTTATTTTACGCATGTATTATTTAAGAACGCGGTCCCAAAAAACTTAATAAAAACCGATAAAACAAACCAAAAATTAATAACACGTTCGTTTAATTGTGCATTCTGAATTAATTTAGCAAAATTGAAATGAGATTTTTTGTCAATTATTTGACCAAAATTATAATGTAACGCCATCACGTGAATGGCCTTTAAAAACTAGGTAGAGACATGAAAATGAATCTATACACTGCTCTTACTACGTAGATTCCCAGTTTCAGAGGAGATAGCAATAAAATTGCATCGGAGTCAGGAATAAGAGCGCTGCTTTAGGCTCCGCCCAATTTAAAAAATAAAAATATTTTTCCTTTTACAATTGAGATATATAAAAGGTGCAATATCTTTCTTTGTGGCATTTCATGTTCAGCAGTGCACTTTTGAAGCGCTGTAATGATGATGATTATCTAAAATATTTGTATCGAATATCCATCACCCCATATCGTCCCGGTGTCTTAAGAGGTGACAGAAGGAATCTGAAACTGGAGATGAGCATCAGTATCTTCCTGATAACAACTGTTTCTGCTGCGGTAATGCATCCCTTTGCATTTTCTATCGCATCTAACACAGGACGTGCTCTGAGGAATTGTTAGGATTAATTCCAGCCGCCAAATTTCACGAATGCACATCGCGGCAAAACTCACGACACCATCCATACCTTCTGGATGCTTGGCTGTCCACCACTGTAGTATTACTAAAAGTTTTCCTCCCCGTTTGACCACTCTCTGGAATTGTTTACTACCGGCGATTTTTCCAGACAGATACGACTTCATGAAAGGAGCTTACTCATTTCAGGTAACGCACTTGCAATTCCCCTGGTGTTGCAGTCGTTCATGGGCGGTGGTAATCACTTTCCACCTGGAGAGCTTGCTGCACATCTTCAGTTTTAATAAAGAAACTTCATTTCCTAACCTGTCTGCTAAGCAATCTACGGGGCAGGCCTATGTTGAGTAGTGGAATTTTATAGGCTTCCAGACTAAATAATAGATAGAAGATATAATGCATAAACGAATATAGTCTTACCGTGGCCTTGAACTTCAAGCAGTCTGGGAAATATTGTGAGGCGGAGAATTTGGGCTTCAATGCGACCGTACAGCCAAATATTAGTGCTTGACCCACACTTAAAACGCCACCCGCTGTGTGATACAGCGGAAGTGGGCAGTAAATTACGTCAGTAGAACTAAGTCGCATATGGTGTATCCCTGAGGCCATAAACACGTACCTGTACAATCAAAGTGCAGTGTCTTATTAAGTCAATTCAGATGAAAAATCGAAATGTTATCATTGATATATTTAAAAAGAGGAAGATACGTCACTTAATCACAGCACCCGGTCCTAACCAAACTACGGGATTGCCCGTAGTTGGCTCGTAGTGACACTCAGTCGCACGCGGAACATCGTCGATAGTAAAGCTCAATAATTTCAGTTCTTTTGGTATTAAATACGCATCAAAATGACATATTTTGCAGCTAAGCAGTATTATAATTCAAGAAAGAAAAATAAGACACGGGCTTACTTTATTTTCTTTGATTTGATTGGTCGGATCTACCGAGGAAGGACAATTCTCTCACAGAATACCAGCGTGAAATAGCAGCTTAATGCTGCTGGGTTTGTGCTGTTTGAGCTTAATGCTGATGCGTATGGTGAGTGTAGAGAACCGGAGACCCTTCTAAGAGGCATTCTACCTTAGTCCTCACGGGTGACAACGCATCTGCATTTTGATTCGTAAACGAGGATTGATGTAGATGTCTATAGGCCACAGCAACCACTTACCACAGGTGAACCGTGTGCTCGGTTGTTACCCTTATCCAAAAAAAATAATCTAAAATAGCTAATAAAGTAAAGGAGCGATCTTTTAACGGGGTAAAATAATGATATAATAAATAGAAAAATATTATATATTCCATTCGTACTCAAATTACACTTTAGCTAACTTTTCTGTAAAGTAATATTTACACTATATTAACTTTATCCTAACTATTAGTGCAGGTTAATCAACTAAAATAATCTATAAATCTTTCGAAATCAACTAAAGACATAGTAGACATACATAGTAGACTACAAGTAGTAAGAAATTAATATAAACCACAGATACAGGTGACTATTTGCGGTCGTTGACATTCTCACTTGTAAAAACAGGTTCCGGTCATGGACACATACGGATCCGCGTCCGGCAGCCATGAAGGATATAGCCATAGGATCGAGTTATTAACACGGAGTAAAATTAAACTGTGAAATTAAATTTTCAAGTTCTTTTCAACAATCAAAGATGATATATGAGCGTATCTAGTCCCGCAGTACGGTGTCGCAGGAGGCGGAAACTGAAACGGGAGATGGGCAGCAGAATCTTCCTGGTAACAACCTGAAACTGTAAAAAGTTGCGGTTGCTAACTCTCCTGTAAAGCGTGATAACGTGCAGAAACTATGTAGCAACTATAAGGCAATCAGTTCAACAGTAAACTTATATAGGCAGTAATGGATGAATGAATTGGAACAGTTGAACTGATGGTACGCGGATGCTGTTGCCGTTTATAAAGTAAAGTTATAGCCTATATACGTCCCACTGCTGGGCACAGGCCTCCCCTCATGTCTGAGAGGGTTTTAGGGCAAGGAAGTGTCCGCCGCGCTGCCCTAATGCGTGTTGGCGAACTTCACGTTTTCGAAATATTTTTTTTCATATTCGTCAGACATGCAGGTTTCCTTACGATGTTTTCCTTCACCGCCGAGCACATGGTATATTAGCACTTAAAATTGCAATTAACAATTTCATTGGTGCCGGCGGGTACGAACCCGGATTACTCGCGTTCTGTTATATTTACAGCGAGTGTTAACCATCTGAGCTACCACGGCTCTTGACAGCTACGAAATAAAACTGCACATTGAATGCCCTGAGGACTAAAGATGTTTCGTTACCAGTGAACAGGAGCTACGGTTCTCATCACTCATTTTACAAAACAAAACAGCATTATGTTGCTATTTGACGCTAGTACTCTTTTAGAGTGTGGTCCTTCTTAAGTCGAGCCGATTTATACGTGCTGCAGCCATAATGAAGTTGCGGCGTGGTTCTACCACGTATAAAAGATGCGTTCTTTAGGCTGCCGTTTAAGTGTTTTCTTTTTTTTTTGAAATCTAAATTGTCCGTACACTATTTAAGCTGTTACATTTTCTAAAGTACCACTAGACTTTATACGATAAACTTTACAGGATATTTGTGATGACTATGATATGATATGCATATATCAAATGGATATTAAATCATAGTATACACACTTAATGCACAAATTAATTATGTATATGAAACGTATAAAAGACAATGCATTGCAGAGACATTAGAAATATTATCACTTCGACGACAACTGCTATGGCGAATCATTTGATCGTAGGTGAAAGTGAAAATGAGGCCAGATGGGAAAGTAAAACCACAGAGTGGCGCGGTGCCGTTATTGATACATGTATATACGAGTACCAAATGAATAACCCTACTTTAAGGTAATTGATAGAATCAGGCGTTACTTTGCGGAAATCCATTATAATAAAAATATTAATTATTTTGCAACCTTCCGCTAACTAAATACAAGGATGTGTCTTACCTGGATTGACTTAGCGGTCAGCCGTCGTAGAGTCCACATCACCTGAGGATGCCTCGTGTAGAGGCGAAACACGTGTCGTATTATCGTCGATGTGTGTCTTACCTGGAATAGTGGTTGGTGTTGGGAGTAGTGGTGCTGAAGTAGTTCTGGGACTAGTGGTGACGGAGTTAGTGCACGCAATTGAGGGAGGGCGGGAGGTGCTCTTCAATCCAGGTAAGACACATCATTGTATTTAGTTAGCGGAAGGTTGCAAAATAATTAATATTTGTATTGAACCTATTTTGGTAAAAATCCTACTATATTTGATTACATATATCTATGCTCGGTGTTTCTCTACGTGATTAACATTGAAATGAGGATATACGCAGTAGAACCAGAATAATCTAGCTCGAAGAACCGACCGTGGAAAAAACGTTATCGGGTGGCAACCTGTTACTGGTAAGCGTAATGTGGGGCGGCTCGCCTCTCGACCTGGTAAGAGATACGGGAGGTCGATGGAAGCCGGCGCATCGTCCTTTGTGGCGTTCTTTTGGGAAGACCTATGTTCAGCATCGGACTTGTGAAGGGCTGTAATGATGATAACTTAAATTGACTATATTTGATTCTAAAATAACGTGACAGGATTAGGTTGATAGAAATTTTCGTTTTTATATATTTCATATTATTATATATTCCTGCTGACGTGACGCTAGCATACACATTTAAAAATTTAGAAGTTTTTGATTAAACCACAATAACTAATTCTATGCCCCTCTTAAGACTAGAGTTTTATAGGTTCAAATGGTACTTTCGGTTAGAATAATAACTTTATAGAAAGTTCGGTGTCTTAAACGTCTGTACGAGTATAACGATTTCTTAAATTTACGCGAACAATACATATGGAACAAAACTATTTATTTGGATTTTATTAACTAAAACAAGTTAACTAAACGCAATAAAATCCTTCTAAATAGTTTTATTCAACGTATGTATAACATTAAATTTAACATAATTATTACTCACCGAGAATTTGAAATAACAGCGGCCTTAGGGAGACCAGTGGTTCCAGACGTATAAATGTACAGAAGTTTGCCATGGAAACCGTCAGCAGTAGCCAAACTCCAAGGCGCTGGAGGTGTGGACTCCAAGAGCGAGGTAAAGTCAACAATCTCGTCGCCACTACCCTTTGCCTCGGGTTCCGAGGGCTTCAAAGGACGATGTGAAAATTTGAAAAGCTTAAGCGAAGGATCTAGTTGATTTGCGACATCCTGTACAGCTGAAATTTAAATATTAAAACTGTAGTTTCGTTATCTAAATAGTTGAGTAACAAAAAAGGCCTTTTAAATATAATTAATTAATTCACAACAGCCTATTTAGGAAATTGCTGCTGCCGTCTCCCGCTTCCCACTGTAGCCTCTCTTACACGGTATGATATGGGGTAGTGCATTCTCTTACACACTATATAGAATTAGAATTATGTAGCTCTTTTTGAATGATTAAACCTAAAAACATGAAAACAAAAAGAGGTTCATATCATAAAAATATGGCGCAAAGGTTTAGAATTAAAAGTTTTGGGAATAAAAAAACATAGAAACTAGGGGTCTAGCAACAAAAATATTAACTAAATTCAAAGTCATGCAGCTGATGATAACATACGGATTATTAAATAGACGGAAATAATTAATCATGGTTATTATTTTATATCAAAAACACACCCAAAAAGAAAAAAATAACGTCACGGTTAAAAAATCGCAATCACCGATTGAGAAAACTAAATACACCGATTTCCCAAACCGTTTTGCCATTTTCTGATTTTACAAAAACACTTTTAAGTAACCTCTTCTAATACAGTGGCCGAAAACCAAAATTCTTGTAGGCCGAAATCTAAAATTTGGGGCCGAAAACTAGCGTTTTGCATATTTTTCACATCAAAATTTATTATAAAAAATAGATTTCTTTTGTAGCATTAATGAGTTATCAAAATGAAAACTACATTATATAAGCTATAAATTAACATTAACAACACTAGGTCAACATAATCGCTATTATTTTTTATAGTACCTCAAAGTTGACAACTCCACTAAAAGGCCGAAAACCAGCGCAACGACCCTACCTAAGTACATCATAATCATAAGGTAATGATAGTCATATTGTAAAAAAATGTAAAATCTATGATATGTAAGTAAATAATTATGATCCAAATAATACCTTGAAAACTAATCATATGAAATCTGCTTTTCTGTCTTTTTTTAATCTTTTTCGAGGCTATTCAACGAAACGCAATTAATAAAAAAGTTTTTTTTTATGGGATAGGGTGACAAACGAGCACACAGTCCACCTGATGGTAAATGGTTGCTGTGACCCATAGACATCTACATCTATCCCCAAATACGAATCTAAATGCATATGAGTTGTCCCCCGTGAGGACTAATATGAAATGCCTCTTTTCTAGACAAAATGGTCTCCAGTTCTCTACATTCATCATACGAAACACAACAGCGTTAATCTGCTATTTAACGCTGGTATTCAGTGAGAGCGTGGACCTTCCCCGGTCCCGCCTACCCATTCGTCCTACAGCTATACTAGTTCAATTGGATTCATCACATACACTGCTGAACATAGGGTACTCCCTCAAGGTACGCCACGAAGCACGGTCCTGAGCCAACTGCATCTATTGACTTCCTGCATGTGTTACCAGGTCGTCACTCCATCTAGTGGGGGGTCGCTATACACTACGCCTACCAGTACGAGGATGCTACTCGAGAACCTTTTTTCCCCAACGGTTGTTGGTTCTTCGAGCTATATGGCCGGCCAATTGCCACTTCAGCTTACTAATCCGTTGGGCTATGTCGGTCACTCTGGTTCTACTGCGGATATCCTCATTTCTAAGTTTATCACACAGAATCACCCCGAGCATAGCCCTCTCCATAGCTCGCTGAGCGACTTTGAGCGTCTTCATACGGCCAGCAGTGAAGGACTACGTCTCAGTTCCATATGTCATCACTGGTAGGTAACACACACTGGTTGTAGTCTCGTTTTCAGGTTTTGAGGTATACCTGAAGAGAAGACGTGTCGTGATTTCCCGAACGCTGCCCAGCCGAGTTGATTTACCTAGTCGGACTATTTGTCCCAGGTAAATGTACTCGTCAACAACTTCGAGCTTAGCGCTCCCAACAACTACCGGCATAGGTGTGATATTAAACATGATCTTTGTTTTGTCCATGTTCATCTTAAGACATATCCGTTGGGAGACACTATTGAGGTCATTGAGCATAATGCTTACGTCCTCCAGCAATTCTGCCATAAGGACTATATCGTCAGTAAATCTAAGGTGAGTGATGTACTCGCCATTGATGTTTATATCGTATCCTTTCCAGTCCAGTAGCATAAAAAAGGCCTTCCAATGCAGCGGTGAAGAGTTTCGGGGATATAACGTCACCCTGTCTTACACCACTCTGCAGTTTGATAGGTTTCGTACTCTGGTTCTGTACTCGGATAGCCATCGTAGCCCTACTGTACAAACATTTCAGCACTTCGATATACCGACTGTTGCACCGCCCAAATTTCGACGGAATCAAAGGCTTTCTCATAGTCCACATACGCCAGGCAAAGTGGCAGATTGTAATCTTTCTTCTTCACTTCTGTACAATTTGCCGAAGGGTATGTATGTGGTCTATGGTGCTAAAGCCTTTTCGGATACTGGCTTGTTCGGGAGGCTGAAAGTCGTCGAGTCTGCGTGTGAGACGATTCATAATAATAAAAATTCACCTTTCTTGAAGAACCAGACCACCGCACCTCTGCTCCACGCCGCGGGAGTAGTGCTACCATGGAGGACGGAATTAAAGAGCCTCTGAAGGACTTCAAGTACCAGTTTTCCACCCGATTTCAGAAGCTCCGCTGTAATTCCATCCTCGCCAGGGGACTTGCCGTTTTTAAGGTGCTGGAGAGCCATTCTAATTTCGCTCACGTCCGGGATATCATCGGATCAATTGGATTAAAGGTACTGTTACTGCCCCAAGTTACCCTCACAAAAGCCGATTGAGCTCGGTCCCACGGAAGCCCAATTCGACGGGTAACAGAGGGGGGGTCCAAACGACCTATGGATAATTAAATTAGAACGGTTAGGTAGGCAAACACAAACTTACCGACTTCCAGAAGTGTAGGGTCTACCACAAGGTGGCGTCAGGGGCAAGTAAATGGTAGTTGGTGTGTAGTGTGGGAAGTGTATAGTGTAACCTGACGTCACCAGTAGGATCAGATAGCTGCACCACGTGCGCCGACCGCTCCACAAGACGCTCCCCGCTATCGGAACACAAGGTTCAGCGTTCTCAGCGACAAGGTAAAAGTTTTATCACGCTATCAAACGAAGCACTAATAACTTATCGATGCAATTAACGGCATAAAGGTTCCTTTAATCACTCTAAATATTCAACAGTAAATTCAAAATCGCGGGCACAATTAACTCAGATTTTAGACACGTTTCCTTATTATTGTCCTTCAACCAAAACACCAGCCGCCCGCAACCGTATGCCAGCCACAAACAATACTTAAAATGGTCACAACCACAATTATATAATCCCGGCTTCGTTATCAAGAAAACAAACAAATTAAGATAAGTAAGTTAGTAGTAAAGTTCGCGAAGTATAAACGACCCGGGCTTCGACGCGGCAATTGTATCATAAACCAACGCGCGACTTCTGAGCGCTACGGCTAGCTCACCAAGGGACGAGACCCGCCGGCGCGGCGGTCCGCCGCACCGATCCGCTTCCCCCCGGCCTCGCCGTCAAACCGGTTTCCACTCGAAAACGCGCGCCGTCGCAGGTTGCAAATTGTTAAAATCATGCCTAAACAAACCCCCGTCCCGGACATGAGGACCTATGTCCGCAAATAAATTGGCAAACGGGATAGGGTCGCGACGGCACGTTGCAAAACCGAATCTCCAACCAAAACCTCGGCCACCCTAGGCACCCCATCCGGTCCATACGACAACTTAACAATGCACCCACGGCGCCAATACAAAGGCGAGGCGTTAGGTTCTTTAACTAACACGAGGTCTCCAACCCGAGGAGGATCCGTCTTGTCAGACCACTTAACGCGCTGCTGCAAAAGATGTAGGTACTCCAGAGACCATCGGTGCCAAAAACTCTGAGTCATTTGTTGCAGCAGGTCAAATCTGCTCAACCGCGAAGAGCTTATTTCCTTGAAGGGGTACTCGGGCAGGGCGTAAAGCGGCTGACCAATCAGGAAGTGGCCAGGGGTTAGAACCTCCAAATCATTCGGAGGGAGGGGGAGGGGGCCGAGAGTTGAGGACCGCCTCAATTTTACAGAATACAGTGGCAAGCTCCTCAAATGTCAAAATAGTTTCGCCAATAACGCGACGGAGATGCGTTTTTGCAACCTTAACCACCGCCTCAAAAATACCGCCCCAGTGTGGGCAAGCCGGAGGGTCAAATTTCCACTGGATGCCCTTCTTGGACATCGCAGTAGATAAATAAGTCCTGTTGCTGGACAGAAATTCGACAACCTTCTTCAAATATCTATCCGTGGCCTTATAATTCGTTCCGCAATCCGACCGGACCAGGTCCGGTAAACCGCGACGCGATACGAAGCGGCCCAGCGTGGCTACAAAGGCTTCAGTGCTGAGGGCACTTACAAGTTCTAAGTGAACGACCTTAGTGGAGAGGCACACGAAAACGCATAGATAGGCCTTATGCGAACGCGCATTACGAAGGTTGGAGGACTTGACGAGGAAGGGACCAGCAAAGTCGGTTCCGACTCTAGCGAATGGTCGGATGGCCCGGACGCGGTCGGGTGGTAAGTCACCCATCATCGGCTGTGTTATGGTGGCCTTCAATTTATAACAAGATATGCACTTAAGGATGGAAAGACGCTCCGAATGGTGCGTCGGCCAGCCAAAATCCAAAACTCCCGCTGCAAAATAGCAGAAAGAGTGTTACACCCAATGTAGGTATTCTGAACATGGTGGTGAGTTACTAGTAACCGAACAAATGCGCCGTCCTTGGGGAGCAGTAACGAGTGTCGAGCCCCGTACGGCAGTTGAGAATTTTTCAAATGTCCGCCAACGCGCAGCATCCACGCGTCGTCCAGGAAGAGGTTCAGGCGGGCCAGCGCACCCTTGACAACAGAGTCCCGTTTCAAGGTATCAATTACGAGTTCAAATGCTTCGCTTGGACCATACGGGTCCAATGCATCAAGGCTTCGCGCCGCTCGCTAGGGGACAAAACGGAATCAGAAATTCGGTTGGATGGGTCTCTC